TTGGTGCTTTTAAGTCTGTGGGATGTGTTAAATCGGTCAGAGAACCGTTTTGGAACCTGGTTCATCTGAAGCAGACACTGCCTTGGGTGGTTGCATAACAGGAAGGCTTTAACAGCTGGGTGGCTTGTGTTGATAATGTGTCCTTAAAAGTCTGCCCCCTTTCCGTTTTTGTACTTTCTTTTCATCTCCCCCAGGAGGAAAAGGATATTATAAAAGCCCCAGCTTCACACTGGCCGGGGTAAGGTGACCCATTTCCTCTCCATTGTCCTGTCTTCTCTGAAGGTTGGAAAATTGTCTGTCCTGACAGGGCTCTGCTCACCCTCTGAGGGTTTTCAGCTCTTAAGTGTTTGGGAGTGCACTTCGGTCTCCAGGGTGACTGATTGCAGGCCTTCACTGGGGGAAGACTGCTGCTTTTTGCTCTGGAGCACTCCCAGCCATCTTCCTCTTGCCTCGCAGGCTTGGGGCTGACGGAGGAACTGTCTGCTTGCTTGTAGGGCTCTCCAACCCAGGTTGCCTGGTTGGGCACTTGTGGTAGCAGCGCTTGGGTGGATTTTGACCTACGTGAAAACTTGAGCTACGGTGGTGGTGTGGGCAGGTTGGGGGACAGGAGATTTGAAAGCCAAATCATGACATAGAACGCCTCTAACTTAGGGCTGCGCCAGGGGAGCCCTGCCTTTGTCATTTCACCAACAAGAGATTTTGGGGGGGGGGTTAATGTTTTAGAATAGGAAACGTCTTGAATTTATCACATTCTTTTCAGTTCATTCTTTTCCTGCCAAACAGAAGCATAAGAGCTTCATAACTAATCTCCTGCATAGTCTATAACTTGTGAATTCTATGGTACTAGTTTATTCTGTATTCAAATAATACACATTGACAGGAAAGCGATTCTATCCATTTGGACCTGGCTTCTAGGGACACACATGACGGCTCACACCTTGAACCAGTGAGTTGGGGTGAAATGGCTGCCAATTGAGGGGGGGCGACCTTGTCCCCTGCTCCCTCAGGAGCCTCTAGCCAAAGCTCAGGGGGGGGGGGAGGGCTGAGGAATGTGATGCCAGGGAAGATCGCAGGAGTCACAAGTGTCCCCTGGAATGCGAAGGTACAATTGTTCCCCCTTTCTGAGCTTTCTACTTTGTTGCCTAAAATGGTGGATACTTCCAAATCCCACTTATACCCTTTCCCTCTATGCGTGTCTGTCTATGGTCAAGCTTAAGTTATAAGTTAGGAATGATAACGAGATTAACAACAACTAATGATAAACTAGAACAGTGTAATACTGAAGATACATGAGAAAATGTAAGAATATAAACTATCATGATAATATCCTATCATAAAAGTTTTTTTTTCTAATTTTTATTTTTATGTTTTGTCTGTTGTAGGGTTGAATTCAGGGCCTGGGTGCTGCCCTTCAGCTTTTTTACTCAAGGCTAGTTCTCTACCACTTTGAGCCACAGCTCCATTTCTGACTTCTGGAGATAAGAGTCTTCACAGACTCCTTTACACATACACACACACACACACACACACACACACACACACACCCCTGGGGTGTCTTCACAGACTCCTTTACACACACACACACACAAACCCCTGGGGTGTCTTCACAGACTCCTTTACACACACACACACGCGCGCACGCGTACACACACACACACACAAACACACACACACACACCCTGGGCTGGCTTCCAACCTGATCCTCAGATCTCACTCAGCCTCCTGAGCAGCTGGGATTACAGGCCTGAGCCACCAGTGCCAGACAAAGCATTTTTCTTTGTGTTGTTGGTTATAGAGCTTCAACTCAAGGCTTGACTACTATGTCAGAGCTTTTTGCTCAAGGCTAGCACTCTGCTACCTTGAACCACAGCTCTACTTCTAGCTTTTCTGGTTGTTAATTAAAAGTCTCAGACTTTTCTGCCCAGCTGTCTTCGAACTGCAGTCCTCACACCTCAGCCTTCTGAATAGCTAGGATTATAGGCGTGAGCCACCAGTGCCCTGCCCATAAATATTGTTGAATATGGCCTCTTGATTTCTCATGAAAAAGCCAAGACAGATTTGAATACTTTTCAGATATCAGATCATCGAAATCGGGTCTAGTGACCCCACAGATGAGGGGAGGGGGGGCTGCTGTCTTTCTTGGTAGAAGCCATAATTTGATTAAGGGGTTAGCAGGAGAGAGGTAACCTTTCCTGTAACGGCATTGCACTAAGTTGTCTGTTGTTTTTTATCATTGAAAACAGATGACTTCCTATGATTTATTTGCTTTGGGATGTGTATGTGCCAGCACTGGGGCTTGAACTCAGGACCCGGGCACTGTCACTTAGTTATTTGTTCAAGGTTGTTACTTGAGCCACACAGCTCTTCCTCCAGCCTCCAGCTCTACTACTGGCTCTCTGCTGGTTAGTTGGTGGCAAGAGCTCATGGGCTTTCCTGTCTGGGCTCACTTAGAATGATGATCCTCAGATCTCAGCCTTCTGAACAGTTAGGATGACAGGTATGAACCACTAACACCTGGCTTCCTTTTGAATTTTTATGAGAGTGCCCTATGAATGTATGCTACAGATAACACGCATTTAACAAATCCTATCAAAACTAACATAAAGCTTACAGTTCATTTCTAGAAAAAGAATCCTTGATTACAAAAAACATCCATCTCTTTTAAAACAGCCTTCTTGAGATGAAATTCAGATAGCAAACAGTTGGGGCCATTTGAGTGGGTTTTTCCACAGTCACCTGCGGGAGGAGTTTTGGGGGGATGGTTGGTATTTGACACACCTGCATAGAGAATGGGGAATGGAGCCACCAGCAGACAACTGACACTTTCTGGCTGGGTTTTCAATATCAACAACTAAGCCAGAGCCATGGTAAAAGAATTGAAACAACGGCTCTGTGGTTTGGGTCCTAGCTCTGCTCTTTCCTAATTAGTGCATCCTTGCTGACCTGTGCAGTCTTCATGCTTTTTTTGCATATGCAAATAAGAGAAAGATTCCTTAATGTTAGTTGTTTTCTGTGTTTAAAAATAGCTCCATGGAGTAGTGTCCTTGTAGCCTTCCTGCCCTTCACACATGCCAGGCTTAACTCTCAGCACTCTGTGTAGCTGCTATTGTTTTGGGGAGGGGTTTCCTCTCCTTCCTGGATGACAAAGAAATACTTGTTGGTTTTTTTTTTTTCAAATTACTATTATTTTTCTGGGCAGAACTGAAGTGTTGAACTCAAGGCCTTGCCCTTGAGTCATACCTCTAGTCCTTTCTGCTTCTAGTATTTTTAAGATCAGATCTTAGTACTTTCTCCCTTGGGGATGACAGGTGGAAGCCAACTTGCGTGGCCATTTTTCTGTGGAGATGCTATCTTGAAAGCTTTGCCTGGCCTATCCTTGAACCTCTATCCTCCTGATCTTTGCCTCTTGAGTAGTAGCTAGGATTACAGGGGTGAGCCTCCTCCCTCATCCTAAGAAGGAATTCTTTATATGCACTAGTATACTGGAAATGTGGCCATTGTGCCTAGCTTGGAATTGGACAATAGAAGAGCAGTCCAAGAAAGGACCGCGATCCTTAAGGAGTTCTCCACTACTTTATGTACTTTAAAGAAGTACATTTGCACAAATAGACTAGACTCGGGCTCCAGAATAGCCCTGGAGCAATTCCACAGGGAGCCTTGAACATGCTGGCTCTGGCACGTCCCTCTGCAGAGATTTTTCTTTAAATGCTCTGTGCTGTGCACTGGGCACTGGAGTTTTTAAATGCCCCCAGATGGTTCTAGTACACTCCAAGGGAGAGAGCCACCCCTTAGTTTAGTCCTAAACTAATTAGATGGCAAACACTTGCGTAAACTTACCAGTCTTCATCTGAATCATCTCTCTTCATCTCCCCCCCACCCCCTTCAGAAAAAATTGGCAGTATGGGGATCTAAATTCTGGGCCTTGCACTTGCTAAGAGCTCTACCACTTGAGCCACACCTCCAGCTTTATTTTGCTTTTAGATTATTTTTAGACAGGGCTTTTTTTTTTTCTTGTCCATAGCTAGCCTGAAGGTGATCCTCTTATCTATTCTTCTTCTTAGATTCTATACAGACATACACAATGAAACCCAGCTTACTTGTTGAGATGGGGTCTCTATAATTTTTATCCATGCTAGCCTAAAACTGTAATCCTTGTAATCCTTCCTATCTTTGCCTTCCAAGTAGCTAAGGTTACAGATGTAAGTGACCACACTCAACCTGGATCATCTCTCTCACTATCTCTGTCTCTGTCTGTCTGTTTCTGTCTCTGTCTCTGTCCCTCTCTCTCTGTCTCTTACGTGCACTTGTTTGAAGCCCATTTCCCTCTTCTTAGAGGATTAGGCCTTTTTCCCTTTGTAGAATCTAGAGTTAGAGAAACTCAACAAACAAAACACACCACACTGGATATAGCTGTCCTAAATAAAGAATTTTTTTAATGTATATAGGAAGGGGTTATCCTCAGCATTACAAAGTAAGTAGATTGTGCCCTGAACTGGGTCTGATGATGATGAATTCCCTTGTGTTCCGTGTGATACAATTGTGGGTGAAGGCTCTCGGCTTAGGCTTGGGGATGTGGCCTAGGGGTAGAACACTTGCCTGGCATCCTGGAGGCATGGGTTTAATCCTCAGAACTGAAAAAACAAACAACCACCACAAAATCCCATAGGTTGTGCTTGTTTCAGCTCTGACACCACTAGCACATCACATTGAGCAAGTTACGTCACCTCTCTGGCCCTCCTTTGTCCCAGCTGTCCAATGGGAATCACAGTGGCATTTCCTTCCCAGAGGGGAAGATTAAGAGCATCAGACGTGCAGTGCAGTGAGCACCCACCTGGTGACCTGGTATTATCACTTGTTATTCTGCCTGTACTCAGCCTTCTTGGTGCTCTCCTGGGCGTGCGGTGATTTGGGAGACACGAGATACAATTCATTTGTGAGTTTATTCACCAGAAAGGTTAATGACGAGGGCTAACTACCTCTGTCTTGTCTCATCTCCGAAGAGTACGGAGCAGGTGGCCGCGTTCTGCCGCAGTTTGCACGAGATGAGCTCGTCTGACACGAGCCCGTCGCCTCAGGACACCACGGGGCCTCAGCTGGCCACCATGAGACAACTGTCAGACGCGGACAAGCTGCGGAAGGTCATCTGCGAGCTCCTGGAGACCGAGCGTACCTACGTCAAAGTACGTCCAGGCCCCGCCTCCCTTCCCTGCCCTTCTAGAAAATCCACAGCTTGTGTGTCTTGAGTGTGGCCATGCTGTCTGTGACTGACAAGGCAGGTTGTGGGGATCTGGCATCCTGGGCTCTCCTGTGGAATTGGGCCTTCCGTCTGAATATTGACTTTCCTTTTGAATTTTAGCCCACTTGCAGCAATTTAGAATCAGATGATGTATGGCAATGAATATGAATATGCAGAAGTGATGATGAATGTAAAATTATTCTTCTAGCCTTGTTACATATGTATGTTTTTATAGAGCTAATATAAAAACAGAACTGTTTACTTTTGTTTGTTTAGGGTTTTTTTTGGTACTAGTCCTGGAGCTTGAACACAGGGCCTGGGTGCTGTCCTCGAACTTTTGTGCTCAAGGCTAGTGCTCTATCACTTGAGCCACAGCTTCACTTCTGGCTTTTTGGAGGTTAAGTGGTCTCATGGACTTCAGTCCTCAGATTTCAGCCTTCTGAGTAGCTAGGATTTACAGACCTGAGCCACTGGCGCCTTGCTTAGAGGAGGAATTTTATTGTTTGTTCTTGCTCCTTATTCAAGTTCATAGTTCCCTTGTCTATGCATATGTCCTTCTTCTTGCAATTCGTTTTAGTGGCTAGCTATATATTCATACTCACTTTCTCCTCCCCTGCTCCCAGCAGTACTGAAGCTTGAACTCAGGACCTCACCTTCTTGCTTAGGCTTTTCTCCTCAAGGCTAGCACTCTACCACTTAAACCATACCTTCACTTCTGGCTTTTTGCTGTTTAATTGGAGATAGGAATCTCTTTGGGGTTTGTCTTGTCTGGGTTGGCTTAAAATCATGATCCACAGATCTCAGCTTCCAGACGATTATAGACATGAGCCACCAGTGCCTGGTCAGAATCTCATTTAAGTCAAAGACATTATCATGGTCTTCATCTAAGTCTAGGTAGAAAGGTGTCAGCTATCATTTATTCTGGTTTAGTTACATTGTTACCTTCCCTAAGTGGAAGCAGTATAATCTGGCTTTTGGGTTTTTTTGGGGAGGAGGGGATACTGGTCCAGGAGCTTGAATTTAGGGCCTGGGTGCTATCCTTTAGCTTTTTTATTCAAGGCTCTAGTACTTGAGCTACAGCTTCACTTCTTACTTTCTGATGGTTAATTGGACATAAGAGTCTCATGGGGTTTTCTGCCTAGGCTGGCTTGTAACTATGACCCTCAGATCTCAGTCTCCTGAGTAGCTAGGGTTACAGGTGTGAGCCACCAGCACCTAGCATGCATTTTAGTCTAAACTAGCAAATTGTGGCCCTGGAGCTAAATTCAGCCTGCTGTCTGCTTTTGCAAATAAAGTTTTATTGCGATACAGCCCTACTTGTTCCTGATGTCTAGATCCAAAATGACTTCTAGGGATTCCGTGAAGACCAAATAGCATGAAGAACCTAAGGTATTTGCAGAAGAGGTAGATTTATATTTGGATCTTGTTAGCATTGGGGCATGATGTGCTTTTTTCTTCCTCTTTCCTTTAGATTCTTTCCAGACTTTTCGATGTGCTAATGATGTATTCTTTTGTCTTTCAGGACTTGAACTGTCTCATGGAAAGATATCTGAAGCCTCTTCAGAAAGAGACGTTTCTCACCCAAGATGAGGTAAGGGAGGGTGCATTTTGTCTTCACTTGATGAGGCTCACACTACAGGTTGACCTGCTGGCAGGAAGGCAGGAATAGGGAATATGTGTAATACTGGAAGCATTTTGAATTTGCCTAGCTGTGATAATGCAAGCCAAGTACTTTCCTGTTAAGCCTTAATATAGTCTTGAAGATCAAGGAGCGGGTAGGAAAACCATTACCCTAGTTCATAAACACTGATAGAAAAATCTTACAGTTGGATAGAAATAGTTTCTGCACACTCAATGGCAGATGGAAAGATTTTTTTTTTCTATTCCTCTTTCAGCTCGATGTGCTCTTTGGAAATTTAACAGAAATGGTAGAGTTTCAAGTAGAGTTTCTTAAAACTCTAGAAGATGGAGTGAGACTGGTACCTGATTTGGAAAAGCTTGAGAAAGTGGATCAGTTTAAGGTGAGCTTTGTCCTTGTTGCTTTATCTGGTGGCCAGGGGTGGGGGTGGGGGTGAGGGTGGGGGTGGGGGTGGAGTTGTCCTATAGGTGAAGTCCAGCCTCTTGGGGGTGGGGGTGGGGAGTCTTATGGACTCTTTGGCAAGTTCTGGTGCTTCCTTGGGTTGTACAGTAAGAGCGCTTTTAATGCCGAGCTCCAGGAACCCAAATATCCTGCTTGTATGGCTAATAAAAGGCTAGGAACCTCAGCATGGGCTGAACTGGTTCACCTGCCAGCTTCCACTTTGGAAGATGTGTCAACCTTGACCTTTTGTTGTGTTTATGAGAGGGTCGTTAATGAATTAGCTATGTTCAAATTAAAATAGCCCCTCTGGCTTTCCAGTAAACAAATTAATTAATCCTGTTCTGGGAAAGCTTGCTGCACAGAACTGCTTATCATTATTCAGGAGGAAGGCAATCTAGCACACAGTGTCCTTGCTGCCCTAATGAGGATGTATGGAGTGTTAGTGGGGATGCTCACGGCTTGGCCCGGCCTCTGCCCCTGAGATGCTTCCTTCACTGCAGAGAGTTCCCAAGCTGAAATTCCAGCTGACAAAATCCGTTGGTGCCTGTGTTGGCTTACATGCTACCTTCACTTGCTTTTCAAAAACAGATTGACTGAGGTCCAATTGACAAGTAATACACTACTTACAGGATACTGTCTGATCTGTTGTGAAAATACACACACACTCACCATGCAGTGATCACAGTCATCACTCCTAAACGTGTCTTCCAGCCTCTGGTGAGCTCTCCCCTGCTTCTCACTGGCTCCCATCCTCAGGCAGCCTGCTTCTGCTTCCTGTTACGTTCCTAAGTTCAGAGACATTTTATCTTGGGAACTGCTATGTATCTGAACCCGTGCGGAGCCTCTGAAGATGGACGCTGGCATGTACACCCCTTGTGTCATTTGCGTGCAGTATTGATCTCAGTATGCCCTGAGATCAGTTTTTCAGACCAGAAGAATAAGCAAATAACTTACTATTTAACCTGTTCTTACTATATGGTGTTTAGTAAATACGAAGCTAAGCAAAGGAATATCTGTTGTGTGGATACAGGGATAAGGCTTGATCTTCCACAGCTTTTCTTGTTGGACAGCTCTTATTGTTGACCCTGGCTCAGAGGATAATGAGGCCTTACAGGGTCGTGGGTTCTGTGCTGCCTCTGAGGAGCTGGGTTTGACAGGGGTAGAACATATATAGGAAGGGCGTTTAGGTCTTCGTGTGATCCCAAATTAAACTTTGTTTCTTTCAGTCAGAAGGCCATCAGAACTTACTTTACATTATGTATTAGATACAGTGCATGCTTTGGGGGGCTGAATTGTGGGGAAACGTGCCTGTGATCCCAACTACTCTAGAGACAGAGCTGGGAGGGCTGGGTCTCAGGCCAGCTGGGCACAAGCACATATGAGAAGCAAAGTAAAGCTTCTAGAAAGGGCGGGGCAAGCCTGGTGCCAGTGGCTCAGGGCAGTAATGACAGTGCCTCTTATTTTCAATAATCTACTAAGAAAATGCCAAAAGTGGTGCAGTGGCTCAAGTGGTAGAGCACTAGCCTTGAGCCAAAGAAGCTCAGGAACAATATCTGGCCCTGAGTTCAAGCCCTAGACTGGCATAAAACAGCAACAACAACAACAACAAATGAGCGGTGTGTGTGTGTGTGTGTGTGTGTGTGTGTGAGAGAGAGAGAGAGAGAGAGAGAGAGAGAAAGTGGTAAAGCATTTGCCTAGTGAGCACAAGTCTCCGAGTTCAAGTCCATTCATGTGTGTTCACATGCACACACACGTGCATACACACATGCGTGCACACACACACACACACAAATGTGTGTGCTTGGGAGAGCAGGTTATCACTCAAATTTAAAATCTTAATTCCTTGCTTGGAACCTAACTTTTAAGCTTGAATGAATGAAGCCCTTCTCTGAACCAGACTAGATCAGTGAGTGTGAAGTTTGGGTAATGTTTGTTCTGAGGCTCATTCATTCATATGAAATGTGTGCTAAGAAGTATCCCACATGAGATGTTCTCACATGCTGGCAGAGCAGGCCTTTCCCAGTGTACAGGCCACTGGGTGTGCAGACTGAAGAGGTGACACCTAATTTCCCTAGCTGAGTGTGTGTGTGCTGCTTTAGCATCGCTTATATTCTTACCTGCTTCCTGCTAGAGCAGAGAGTAGTTTGTGAGAGGGTGGGGGAAGGACAGGGAAATGTGTTTTCTATTTTGGAGGCATGAGCCATTCCTACCTTTATTTGATTTGTCACTTGTGTCTCTTAGCATAAGCTTATGAGAACACACACACACACACACACATATACACACACACACATACATACACACACACATATACACAAATGTCAATGAGGAAGTATATAAATATATATATAATTTTATATACATATATATTTTTCTACTCATTGGCATTCAGACATCCACATATAGGTCATTCAAACAGACCTGGGAACCCTGGGATATCTCTGTAAATACTGAGAAGACAAAAATCCAACATTTATTGCACACGTTGAGTCCTCTGGGTTTCTCAGAGTTAATTTTAGGACCTGGGTGAGCAATGAAAGGCTTTAACGAGACTGGATGGCGCTCACTTTGGGGAGCTCAGGCACATGTGAGTTCCCCGCTATATCCTGCTGATGTGTCGGCAGGGGAAGCAAAATGAACGGACTATGCATTGTCTCATTAATTCCAGAAAGTGCTGTTCTCTCTGGGGGGATCCTTTCTGTACTACGCCGACCGCTTCAAGCTCTACAGTGCCTTCTGTGCCAGCCACACGAAAGTCCCCAAGGTTCTGGTGAAAGGTAAGCCCTCTGAGGACTGGGGGTGGAGGGGCTGTCACGTGCCAGCTCACGCTTGTGTGGCTCACTGGGGTTGGTGCCTTTGAGGCCGAATTCTAAGAATCATTGATTGCCAAGTAGACATTCCCATAAGCCACACACAGGTACTGAGAAAGCAAATATGTTCATATCACAAATGATTCATTCCATCTGTTTTCTTTGTAATGAGAGTTTGGACTCAGCCATTTGGGATAGGAATAGATGGAGCATCTTGTGGTTATGTAAAATCCTAGAGAGTTTAAAAATCCCTGCAGAGACCCGATTTTTCTTCCTTTCTATTAATAGCACCATACTTCTTATACCTGTTTGTGGAATTGCTTCTTTCCTTTGCCTATTTTTGTCCCTGGCTGTTTGATAATAGCTCCTGATATCACTACTCAAGTTATTTCAGTTACTCATGAAAATTGCTCTGGTTACAGTTATTTTTTTCCAGAACAGATTTTTGTATCAGCAAGCTGATTTTCCTTTTCTCCCTTCCCATTTTAGTCCTATCATGGAGCTATATCCTCAGTCCAGATATTCCCTCCCTCCCTCCCTCCCTCCCTCCCTTCCTTCCATCTTTATGCCAGCACTGGGGCTTGAACTTGGGGCCTTGCACTCTTACTTAGCTTTTTCACTCAAGGATAACACTTTACTACCTTAGCCACACCTCTACTTCTACCTTTTCATTAATTAACGGGAGATACGAGTCTCATAGACATTTCTGCTCAGATTGGCTTAGAACCGTCATCCTCAGTTCTCATCGAGCCCCTCCCCGCCCAGTAGCTAGGGTAACAGGGATGAGCTACCAGCACATGACCCAGATACCTTTCTTAAGGGTTCTAAGAAGGGTTCTCTAGTAGTTGTGTTTCCATAGTGCAGTATGTGGCGTTTGGTGATGGGTAAAAAGTTGATGTCATAGAAATAAATGCTAGGATTATGGTTAGCAGAGGCTAACCATAATAGGACAGGGAGTGGGGGCATTAGATGGTGGTTAACAAGTAGAATGCAGTTTCATAGGAACGTGTCTTATATCTGTAGTCCTAACTACTCAAGAGGTAGTGATTGAGAGTATTGAAATTCAAGGTCATTTCAACAAATAAGTCAGATGTGAAGAGGTGTGCCTGTGATCGCGTGTGTAGCTGGATCATGATATAAGCTGCCTGTGGACAAAAATGTGAGATTCTATCTTAGAAAAAAAAAAAACCTAAGCACAGTGTCACTGGCTCACACTTGTAATCCTAGCTACTCAGGAGGCTGAGATCTAGAAGGCTGAGGTTCAAAGCCAGCTCCGGCGGTCAGGTTCACTGAGCCAGCAGAAGGAGCAGCTGCAGGCGTGACTCAAGCAGTAGGGGACCAGCAAGCACAAGGTGCTGAATTCCAAGCTTGGACTGCCAAAAAAATTTTAAAAAACAAATAAATAATAATCTAAAAGCAAAAAGGCCTGGTTCAGGTTCTAAGCTCAAACTCCAGTACCCCCTCTGTCTATCTAATACGGATATTCATATACTGTATGTACTACCATTTGGTACATATATATTCCAGTGTGGCTGCCCTGCAGACGCCTGCTGATCAAAGCCCTGGGCATGTGAATAATTTTCATGCATGTGTTCTGGTTGCTACCAAAGAGAACTGGGTTGGCATGATGGGAAATATTAGCAGAGTGATAATCTGGATGATGAAAGATCCTCCTCCAGGTACTGACAGACACAGTGATAGTGCTAGTCTACAGAAAAGCGTGACATCTACATGTCACATTCATCATATGGGTTCTCTGTGTGTGTGCTTTTCTTATAAAACCTTTATTGATTGCTAATTGCTAGCCAATTATTAAAGTAACCATTTACGAGTACTTGGCTCTATAATGAAATTACATACCCATTATATTCCTTCGAGCAATTAGTACTTTTTTCATCACTCAGATGAAATTCTCCCCCCATGGATTTTTCTTAATACAATAACATTATCTTTTGCACCTGAAAAACATTATACTGCCATCAAAAACTATCTGCTAAAACAGCAGGCACCACCTACTTTTTTCTGACTTCCAAATGACCCAAGAGAAGGAAGAGACAGAAAGAACCAGGGGTGCTTTTGTGGCTCATGGAGCCCAATAGCAAACATACCTCACGGGTCAGAGAGCCATGCCCACACTTTGGACTTGAGAATAGTGGGGTGCAGTCAGGAGCTGGGGTTCCTGGCCTCTTCCCGATAGGGTATAAGACTTGGGATGCCACATGTGAGCCCTAGTTTCTCCACACTTCGGCTCTGGGTCTGCCCCAGCTTCCCTGGCTCATAGGCTCTTGGCTGTGGTTCACTCATTCCCAGTGATTTCTTTCAAAGGAGAAGAAACGATGGCTGAGCCCAAGAAGTCTGATTCCTCCTAATAGAGCAACAGAGATGGACAATAATGGCTGTGTGAGGTCTTTCCTCACAGTTGCCGTTTTACTTAACTATAAAGACAGAGGATGCACATGACAATTTCACAATGAACTTTTTCAATGTTCGGTGTTAGCATGTACTTCTAGTTGCTGGGACTGGAGGTAGATGTTGTATCTATATACATGTGTGAGTCATGTATGCGAATGATACATACGTATGTAAATATGTGCCCACTAGGTTTTAAAAGGTGATTATGTACTCACTTGAGAGCTGCTTGAGTTCCCTGACACACCCGGTGCTGTCACACAAGTAGTGAGTCCCTGGGATGCTGTAGCTGATTTCCAGAGGATAGTGGGAGGGCTGAGTGTGAAGAATGAGTGTTCAGACGATGGTTGGGTTGGTTTGCTGGTTTATCATAAAGAACTCAGGAAGAACCAGGTGGAAGAGATGCAGCAAGAGAAGGTGGAAGGGTTTTGAAGCCTTGCGAGTCTGGCCCGTCCCTCTCTCACCGCTGTCCTGAACTACCAGGGACAGTGGAAGGCCCTGAGTGCAAGCCCCAGTATTGGGAAGGAACGAAGGAAGGAAAACTGTTAAGTCACTTGTACGTATTGTCCTTCCCTCTTCCAACATTACCTTGTTACCTGGACATCACCTGCTACAGGGGCCCCCTGCTTGTTGGAGCCCTGCAGCTCTCCAGAGCTTGGGACAGAGCTTGAGAATGAGCTGGAGAGGAAGGTGCTGTCTTAGACCCCCACCTAAGATGCCAACAGCGGGAGCAGAATCCACATTGAACAGATCACTACTGAGCTCCACCCTCACCCCACTTAAGCTGGACTCTGTGGTGCTGCTGCCTGTTTCTCCTCCCTCCCTCCCTCCCTCCCTCCCTTCCTTCCTTCCTTCCTTCCTATCCTCCCTATCCTCCCTATCCTCCCTCCTTCCCTCCCTTCCTCCCTCCTTTCCTTTGGTCAGTACTGGGCTTTGAATTCAAGGCATTGTGCTCTTGCTTGTCTTTTTTACCCAAGGCTGGTGTCCTACCACTTGAGCCCCCGCTCCACTTCTGGCATTTTGCTGGTTAAGTGGATATAAGAGCACCTTGGACTTTTCTGCCTCTTAGATCCTTAGATCTCAGCCTCCTGAGTAGCTGAGATTACAGGTGTGAGCCACCAGCAAGGGGACTGGTTTCCCTGAGTGTTTTGTTTTGTTTTTTCTTGTTATAGAAGAGGTTCTGCCCACAGTGCTATGCACAAAAGCTTAGAAAGGCAGGGTAAGAGAATTTAAGGTGAAAGTTTTGGGATTCTTTAGGACTGTAGTTGATTCCTCACAGGTCCCAGGAAGAGGGGGCACGTGCCATGCAGGGCTGTGTGGGGAAGGACCAGGGTTGGTCTGGAAGCAGAGGGGCAGGAATCTTCACTGTGGTGTCTGTGGGGAGGAAGGGATCAGGGTGGGAAGCAGCTTTAGCAGTTCTAGCTTGAGTTATTTAGTGGGTTATGTCTCCTTGGCCTGGGCTGAGGCTGGGGACACAGTGGCCCCGAGTGTCAGCGCCTCCTAGTGGAGACATCTGTGTATAGGGACAGTGAGTCTTGCCATTAGGAGGACCAGTAAGGGTCCAAATGTCAAAGCATCAGAATCAGCCTGACCGGAACCTGTGTCTCCATCCTTCCAGCCAAAACCGACACGGCCTTCAAGGCATTCTTGGATGCTCAGAATCCAAGACAGCAGCACTCGTCCACCCTGGAGTCTTACCTCATCAAGCCCATCCAGCGAATCCTCAAGTACCCGCTTCTGCTCAAGGAGCTCTTCGCGCTGACAGACGCGGAGAGCGAGGAGCACTATCACCTGGATGGTGAGTGTGCCCCCGTCATGGGATGGTCTGTGTCCCAAGCGCCCCAGCACCCCATCCTGGGAGGGTCTGTGCAAAGCCTCTTCATCTCACAAGCCATGTCCTTCTAGTGGCCATCAAGACGATGAACAAGGTTGCCAGTCACATCAATGAGATGCAGAAAATTCATGAGGAATTCGGGGCTGTGTTTGACCAGTTGATTGCCGAGCAGACTGGTGAGAAGAAAGAGGTGAGGAGCCCCTTCCTTCCTTCTTCTCAGAGTTGTCTTTAAATGAGGCGATAGTTGCAAGGCCAGTAGTTACACTGCTGTTTTTGTGGGTGTAACCAAGGTTACAACATGAATTTTCTTTTCAAGTGCTGGGGATTGAGTTCAGAACCTTGTGCTTACTATGGTAGCGCTCTACAACTTGTTGAGTCACACATCCAGCCCTTTTTTAGCTTTAGTTTTTTTCTTTAAAAAAAAAAATAGGGTCTTATGCTCTTGTTTAGACCGGCTTGACTATGATCTTCCTACCTCCTCTTCCCAAGTAGCTGGGATCACAGGCATGTACCAGCTTCTCTTTTCACTAGCTTTTTGCCTGGGCTGGCCTCTAACTATGATCTAGCTGAGGTTGTAGACATGAGCCATCACACCCAGCCTTGGGTGGAATTCATATAAGAAACATGTTTCCGATGCTCAGCTTTTCATCTTTGAGACCTCTGGGATATTATTCTAATATCTGAATAAGAGGCTGGGGCTACTGGCTCATTCCTATAATTCCAGGTACTTAGGCAAAGGTGATGTGGTTCAAGGCCAGTCCAGACAAAGGTTTGCAAGACCCTATCTCAGGGAACTTTTTATCTGTCAAACATCATTTGGATATTTATAACATAATTCATGAACCATATAAATTACCAATATGGGCAGATGGTCCCTGGGAAACTGACAAGAGTATTTGTCTGTTTTGTCACATATGAAATGGTTTAGAGGGCTTACACACCCCTTGGACTGAACATTCCCCACCTCTACCCCTGACTCAACCAGTAAAGCTGGTGTGATGGTCTGCACCCACCATCCAACTATGAGAGAAACATAAATAGGAGGATCACAGTATAAGCCAACCCAGTCAAAAAGCAAAAGCCTACCTGAAACATAACTAGAAAGGGCTAGAGGCAGGCTTCAGTGGTAGAACACCTGTCTAGCAAATACAAGGCCTTGAATTCCAATGCCAGAATCACAATCATAGTCACCACAATAATAATAACAACAACAGCAGCAACAACAGCAATTTGTTTTGAATGACTACAGAGTTTTTTCAGTGACAGACCCGATTTTCTTTCTCTACTCAAAGATTTACTTAGAAGAAATAGTGACAGGAAGGCTGAAAAGTGAACAAGTTGTACCTGAAACATTGAGAAGTCACTTTTCCTTACATGAAAACAAAGTACTACTAACACTGAGTGGAGTCATAGGAGTGTGGGAGGGAATGGTAGCCATTGAGATCTGGGTCCCCAACGCCCAGTGGAATATGATCGTCCATCTTGCTTCCCACATTCAAATGGAGGAGGAGGAGACGAGCTTGGGGCTGGAGGGCACTTAGGAAAGATAGGGGAGCCAAAATGGACACCGGTGTGCCACAGTTTAAGACTCCATGAAAACTTGAATTGGGATCATTCCACTCAGTAAGTTTTGCGCTGTCTCTGACTCGGCAGGTCGCAGATCTGAGCATGGGAGACCTGCTTTTGCACACCACGGTCATCTGGCTAAACCCACCTGCCTCGCTGGGGAAGTGGAAAAAGGAACCGGATCTGGCAGCCTTTGGTATGTATCAGAAGAGGGCTTTGAAGGAAAGGGAAACAGCTGTCTTTCTTTCCAGAAGAATATGTCTTTTTCAAGACATAATTTGTTCAAATGAAGCTAATAATATTTGCTGGATTGGTTTTCCTGCACAATATGAAATTAAACTTCTTCTAGTTAATGCATGCACTGTCTGAGGCCACCCGGCTACTATGACTAAATCTATCCCAGATAAAAACACACAGGCAGGTAAAGAATTGTTTTAAATCCATTTTTAAGATTTGGGCCATGAATAATAACACATGGATAATAAACCAAGGAAAAGTGAAATTTTAAAAAAATCAAGAGGAAACTGACTCTGTTTCTAAAACTCCAAATCTTACGTTTTGACTCCATTCGGACTGCCGTGCTGTATGCAGTACCAGGATTTAGGAAGCTGGTTATCAGAAGTCTTGTGGCTCCAGGAGCCTCGGTCTGATGCACTGCTGCTGATACTTGTGGAGGTAGATGTGTGTGGACACAATTGGGGATCTCGTAGGGTTCCGTTGTATTCACTTCTGGGAGCTGTGCCCGTACCAGGAGAACATGGCTGCCACTGGCAGTGTGCGAATGTGTCATGTGAATGTCAGTGCTGTTCCTGAGTGCAAAAGTCATCCGACTACACTTTTGTTTTATCCTGGGGAAAAAACAAAACAACAAGCTGTTGTGTTTTCCTGACCTCCGCAGGAGTAGCTTGTCTGACTGTTACCGTTGTCTCTCCTGCGTTCTTCCTCTGGGTCTGGGGAGAGGGGAGGGGCTGGCTACTTTCTTCTACTCCCTGATGTGAGCAAAGAATTCTCAAACAGTAATATTTTTATTAGAGTGTCTAATACAAAGATAGCTTGGGCTTCCGACTTAGATTCACTTAGGGTTCGTTGAGAAGTTAGTGATGTCCCTGCTGTATCAAAAGCCACTGTGACTTTTAATGATATTTCAATGAGACTAACTTAAAAGAGTATAGATGTAAGCTGCATGCCTACCATCTTAGCTACTCCAGAAGCTGAGATCTGAGAATCAAAGGTCAGTTAGCCCAGGCAGGATAGTCTTATCTCCAAAAAGCTCAAAGTAGAGGTGTGGCTCGAATGGTAGGATGCCAGCATTGAGCAAGAAAGCTAAGGAACATCGTCCAGGTCCTGAGTTCAAGCCTAGTATTGGTACGCACGTGTATACACACACACACACACACACACGCGCGCACACACACATGCACGCATGCACGCACGCACACACGCACTGGATGCTTTAAGAATTTGGTGGCCTTGCCAGGTACATGTTTTGGGAGGACAAGAGGACTTGCCACCTCTTCACCTCCACCTTGTGTCTTAGATTCAGACTTCTTGGGCAGTTTTGTCTCTCTTGGGCCGTCTGTGCTCCTTACTGCTTTTTTTAAAAAATTTAATTTTATTGTCAAAATGATGTACAGAGGGGTTACAGTTACATACATAAGGTAGTGAGTACATTTCTTATCAAGCATTGTTATCCTCTCCCTCATTTTTCTCTCACTTTCCCTTCCTCTACTACCCCCCCACCCCAAAGTTGTGAAGTTCATTTTGAATATACTGTCTTGTGAGTATCACTGTTGGATTGGTTCACCTTTGTCCTACCATTTCGTGTTCCCCTTCCCTTACCTAATTCAGATAAACACATATACAATACCCAGGGTACCAAAATCAAATATAGTGACAACAGGGAATAAACCATGGGGGGAAAAGAACGAGAAAAATAAATAACTTCACACAGTACATTAAAAACAACAATAAAGAAAAACCTCTTGTTTCCAGATCCTGGAGTTCATTTCTCTTAGCATCATCTTATATGGTCACATGTACATATATTGAGCCGTTGTGATCCGCTTCTAGGACCACCCTAGACATACACTAATTATTACAAATGAGGGAAACCATGGAGCCTGTGTTTCTTTGGGTCTGGTTTACTTCACTTAATATGATTTTTAATAGATGTGGGCATGACCATTTCTCTAAGCAGCTGGGTGGCCTCAACATTGTGGCATTGCATGTATGGACTGTTTCTGGCACATAGACTCCCCAGTAAGTGACACCAAACACCTCCTTGTTTCTGAGTTGGGCTGCAAGCTAGCAGGTTTAGAGCCCGCCTTGTGGATGTTTCATGACTTGACCCTTGAATTTTGCAGACTTTCATGTAGTGAGAAAGGAATAGATTTGGAATAAGGAAATAATGTGAGGGGGAGAAAGGGGACGTTGGCCCCTTGTTTCTGTCTGGGGTGCTGGGGCAGCTGTAACAGCTCGCTGTCAGCTGGATGGCTAACACAGAGCAGACATTTATTTCTCGCAGTTGGGGAGGTTGTATGCCAAGATCCTACATTCCCAAGATGACACCTTCTAGCCTGGTCTTCACATGGGGAAAAGGGCAAGGTGTTGTGGAGAAGGCCATCAGAAGACACCACACAATCACAGCGTACTGCCAATAGAAAGCCTTATTATCACTGGGACTGCACTGGACAGTGGGGTCACCAGCACACAAAAGAAGTTTCTTTAGGTGAAAAAATGAATTATATCTCTCCAATTATGAGTAGGTGTGTGTGTGTGTGAGAGAGAGAGAGAGACAGACAGACAGACAGAGAGGCAGAGAGAGAGAGAGTTCAGTTTTTCAGTGTGCATAAATGAAGATCACCCAGGCCCAGAGAGGTTGCATGCTTTCTTTCTGTCTTGTATGCAAACGTATACAAACAAATACATTGATTGAAATAGGGTAGATTTAAGGGAGAACTCAAATAGTGTAATTCCTTATAAAGCAAAGTCAAGTTCAACAAAATAAAATCCCGGGAAGCCCAGGTACCTGAAAGGGATGGGGTGGGGTCCAAGGCAGAGGGACAGACTTATGAAGAAGAGAAGGGAGCGGAGAATGCAGTTGACACTTCAATGTACATGAGCAAAATTAAGAGTGAGGGAAGGCCATGGCATAGCCCCTGTTTTCACTGTTTTGATTCCCGTGCCCTGCATCTTCTATATACAGTTTTCTAATTTGGGGAGGAGAAGGGAAAAAACAATATGCTTAAATAAGGATACAGGTTGACCCACTGTAACAATGAGATGTACAAGACTCTATGTTGAAAATGAACTTTACAACTTCGGTGGGGTAGGGGGAGGGAAGAGATGGTAGAGGAAAAACAAAGGAGGGGGTAACTCATTACCTTACTCATGTAACTGTACCCCCTCTGTACAGTATCTTTACAAGAAAAATATTATTTAAAAAAAAGAGAGGGAAGGGTTGGGCAGGGAGGGACAGGTGAGAATATTGAAAGGGCTGACTGTTCAAGATGCATTGTATTCATAGACAACTTAGACTTAAACAACCACTTAAAGATAGTAAATAAAACATATATACTATTCCTTAATGGATGAAATGAATATCGGTTTTTGTTGGACATGTATAGCTTAAATTTTAACCTTGGGATAATATAGCTAAAATGGGGTATTTTACCTGAGCATTTGAGAAGGGAGTTATTTCTGCTTGCTTATTTTGCATGGGAAACCTTTTTCCCAGCAGGCGTTTGATCTTCATAGTTGTAAGTGAGAGAAAGGGGTGCTGGAGTCAGTCACTGAGATTGTACGATCTTTCTCAGTGCTATTACCACACGTGATCGTCACTGTGCGGGGAATGCCATAGAGTTCACGCCCTAACTGCCTTTGTTTTCTTTCTTTCTTTTTTTTGGTTTCCAGTGTTCAAAACAGCTGTGGTCCTCGTGTATAAAGATGGCTCCAAACAGAAGAAGAAACTTGTAAGACTTGGCAGTGTGAAATTCTCTCTGTACTCTATCTGCTTCTCACTTACATCTATACATTCTGCCCCTTTGTTGAGAAAAGCCTTTATGGGTTTTTTTTTTTTTTTCTGCTGGTTGTGGGGCTTGAACTCAGGGCCTGGGCACCATTCCTGAGCTCTTTTGCTAAAGGCTAATCTTCTATCACTTAGACCCAAAACACCACTTCTTGTTTTCTGGTAGCTAATTGGAGATAAGAGTCTCTCACTTTTCTGCCTGAGTTGACTTTGAACCACAATCCTCAGATCTCAGTCCTCTGAGTACCTAGGATTACAGGCAGGAGCTACTGGTGCACAACTATGATTTCTTTTGTACATATATCCATCCTGCCTTGCAGCAGGCTCCTGGGTAGTGAGTGAATAGCTATTGTTCACCTTCCCCCATGGCCCAGAACCTTCCTGTTTTCCCATACTCTGTTCCCTTGTCCATCTTTTGAAATCCCTTTTCTCTTCCTGCTGCCTCTCTTTGACTTGTCATTTGTTGTCTGCACATACTCAGCATATTTATTTACTGTGTAGTTTCTCAATTCCTGCCCCATGAACTAAAGAACACAGGAAGGTGACATTGCTTTGGGCATGTGCAGGACTTACTGAGGGGAGAGAGTCTCCTACTGGTTTGGAGAAAGTTGGAGCCTGTTCTTACACTGCTGGCTCCTCCCCTGCAGGTGGGCTCGCACAGGCTGTCAATCTACGAGGAGTGGGACCCCTTCCGGTTTCGGCACATGATCCCCACTGAAGCCTTGCAGGTTCGAGCCTTGGCAAGTGCAGGTAAATGCTGGCACATGCTGGGTCCTGTTTCTTATATGTGTATGCATTCGTTTTTGTATCCACACTCTTGGTCTAACTATCCAACCTTTTCTTTGCCTGTATTGGGACTTGGGCACTGGCCCTGAGCTTTTTTCGTTCAAGGCTGGTACTCTACGACTTGAGCCACAGCTCCACTCACTTCAGGCTTTTTGGTGTATAATTAGAGATAAGACTTTTCTTCATACACTAGCTTCCAACTGCGATGCTCAGATCTCAGTCTTCTGAGGGGCTAGGATTACAGGCATGAGCCACCCATGCCTGGCTTTTTTGTTGTTGTTGTTGTTGTTTACATTTAAATCCTATATTTATGGAAACAAAATTAATTTCTTGGGACATTGTAAATGAAATGTCTGCCTCTGAAGTAGTATGATACTGAAAGCCCAAAGAATGACTGATACAAGTCCAGCTTGATGGGAAAATTAGTTTACTAGGGATTTCTCAGAATGATGGATGACCACAAATGGTCACCCATGTCACCAGCACCTCCTGCTTAGCAAGCTCCAATTTTATATGGCTCTGAGTCTGCAGCAGAACTTAAAGGGCTTAGAGTGCCCCCTAGTAGTAAAGCAGCAGCGCTGACTGTAGGCTCAAGTTAAACCCTTGGAGAGCCACGCGTTCATGTCCACATTTGCTCTCATCCAGGATTCTGCTGTTCTTATCAAACACCAGCCGTGGTAAGGAGAGTTCTGCTCTGTGCTGGTCTAGCATCAGGACAGCTAAGGGGCAGCTTGCTGCAGGATGGAGTTACTCCACTAGGATTCAGAGGACTGGTCCCACTACAGCCTCATCTCTTTTCCCTGAATCTTTTCATTACCTCTTATGTGCTTGGCCATTTATTTAAATAGTGAATGAATGAACTAAATGAGTGAATGAACTAAATGAATGGATGCATGTAATGTCCTAATAACAGTTCCAAGTTATTCTAGTCATCCTCTATTTGTATGTATGTGTATTCTGCATATGTTTATGTATACATGTATGTATGTATGTATGTGTAATAGATGACACTGTTTAGAGATATATGAATATATACACACATACAAACACATGTGCTACATTATACATGTATATGTCATACACATGTACCCATAGATATATACCTATGCAATATTATATCTGTTACATGGAATACACACATACATTTGTATGTATGAATATATATGAAATATATGAGATATATTATGTTTTATGCACATAAACACATACACATGTATACAATATTATATAGATATTTTAACTAATAACATGTGAGTAGCAGTGCACCTTGTACTTTCATCATGAACACTCTCCAAACAGACCCCTGTTTTCACAGCGTGCACTGGAGTGTCTTAGGTGCTGTTCCAAAGAAAGAACAAATCGCTGAATTGTAATAGCTGACAGGCTGCACAGCTGAAAGTGGCTTCCTCAGTCAGTTTGAGTGATTGAAGGGCCGTTAGACAAGGGCCTGTTAGTGTTTTTTTCTTAGCACACCCTAAGCCCTTAGTGAAGTGTCTTCCGTCTTGTGCGATTGCAGTATTTCATCATAGACCAAGAATGAGAAAAATGACTTTGTGAAAATGTAAGCCGTACAGTGCAATGTATCCTGACGTGTTCTTGTTTTACCATATCTAGACGCAGAGGCGAATGCCGTGTGTGAAATTGTCCATGTGAAGTCGGAATCAGAGGGGAGGCCCGAGCGGGTCTTCCACCTGTGCTGCAGGTGAGCCTGGCCCTGCACAGCTGAGGCCCTGCCCAGTGCACCTGAGAAGTTAGTACATGGATGCATGGTGCTAGTTGTACTAGAATACAGACAGTAACCCGGCTAATGGAAAATCTTTCTACAAGGAAATAGACTATTGAAACATATTGAACATACCAGGAGGGCTTCTCATATTTACCTACAACACGATTAGCTCAGTGTTTTGGTGTTTGGGCTCATTGTTAACACAGCTCTAAACTGCAGCAGAATCAGAGTCTGCTGGGAGGGAGGAAGTGTGAGAAGGTATTACAGGAGTTCTTCATCCTGTGGAGACATGGTTCTTCAACATAGGGAGGCTGGCTTCTGTGGATCACCTGTAGTTCTTGGGTGGATGTTCAACTTCGACTCTGGCCTTCCACTTAGTAATTCTTATTTTTCTTCTTTCTCTTCCTCTTCACCTTCTTTCCTCAACCCTCCGTCATTGATCCTTCTGTAGTATCAAGATGGATGGTGCCACCAAATGATGTTCTGTTTGGTTTTGAATATAATCCACATGTAATTGTGCTTCATTTAATCATAAGCATTCAATCTAGTACCGTAGTATTCTAGGATGTTATGGGTTGCCTACAAACACAAGAGAATCAATATTTTTGAGGTATTAGTGATGTTTTAGAATACTATTGCTAGTAGAGTAAAAAGGGGCATTTCCTAACCATGTGTGACATGTACCTTTCATCCACAGTTACATTTAGGCGGGTAGAGGGGAATGAGGGCTCAGAGAAGATTCCCTGCAGAACATGGTCTGGAAAATGGATGCCCGGTTCAAACTCAGATGTCTGTGTTTCATATTGCTCCCTCACATCTCTGTGTTGTGTGACTGATCGACAAAGGACAGCTCTCCCAGGACACTGTCAGGAATAGAAATGACATAGCTTTGAAAATATTCTGGGGCTGGGAAGGTGGCTCAGTGGTAGAGTGTTTGCCTTGCATGCATGAGGCGCTGGGTTCGATTCCTCAGCACCACATAAGCAAAAAGAAAAAAGCCAGAAGTGGCGCTGTGGCTCAAGTGGTAGAGCTGATGAGCTGAGGGACAGTGCCCAGGCCCAGAGTTCAGGCCCCACGACCGAACCCCCCCCCCCAAAAAATGAAAATATTCTGGTCAGGGTTTGAGCAGCTTCGCTGGCAGCTGTTAGGCCGATTCATGTGTGCTTGGTAAAATCCATGGAGTTCAACAGACCTTTTCTAGATCCTCCCTGTTTGTTGTTTATAAGAAATACCAGCTGAAAGTTACTTTGGTAAAACCAACGAGAATCTAGCTGGGCATGGTAGAGCACACCTATAGTCCCAGCATAAGGATGCTGAGGCAGGAGGATTATGAGCAGTCCAAGCCACCTAGCAGGATCCTGTCAAGAACAGGGGAAGGAAGGAGGGGAAAATAAAAGGTGACATTAAAAACTTAACATAATCCTTCCATTTTCCACTGTGAGAATTAGGGCTTGGTAGGAAATTTTGACCTTGTTGATGTGTCATATGTATCCCATGAGGGAACGGGAAGATGACCCTCAGGGGAACGGATGAGCTCATTGAGGTTTCGGTCTGTCGATGCCTGCACGGGTACGAGAAACTTCTGGCTCGTCTTCCTTCAAAAACAGTTCTATAAAGTTTGTAAGGTTGTGCCTTGTGCATCAAGAGCAGAATTTGGCAAAATCCGTCCATTGATCGCTTGTCCATGGGGTTCTCTGCCCCAACCTGGCTCAGAAGGTGACTCACAAAACGCCAAGGAAGTGGAGCGTGGAATTCATTATCCTAGCTATAAGGAGGCAGCTGAGCATTGAAATCAGAGTCCTGGCTTCAATGTTTAACCTTTGGCCTTTGGGGGGACATTGATTTGACTGCGCCTCATGGTACCCGAAGATATTCCTATGCTCTACACTATATATTTAAACAAATAACACTTGTTTTCCCAGCTCCCCAGAGAGTCGAAAGGATTTCCTGAAGGCCGTGCATTCGATCCTGCGAGATAAGCACCGAAGACAGCTCCTCAAGACCGAGAGCCTCCCTTCGTCTCAGCAGTATGTTCCGTTTGGAGGAAAGCGGTTGTGTGCTCTGAAAGGGGCCCGGCCAGCCATGAGCAGGGCAGGTACTGTGGGGATTCAGACTTACAAGATCCCGGTCACCCCCACTCTGCTCTAGAACTCAAGGGAATTTGACCTCCTTGTCAAGCAGGAGTTGAGTGTGGCCTGGTGAGGGCTAATATAGGGTGTGAAGTTCTTGGTCGTTGTTTCCTTCCTGGTGGCTTCTGGGGTCGGCCCTTTGTTCCTCTTAATTTCCCCCCATCCTCCCCTTGCTGCCCTCCTCCTGCTGGCTGATGAGCGCCTCTCTCGTTTGCCAAGTCAGCAAGCAAATGCATCTTTCTTTCTTTCTTTCTTTCTTTTTTTTCCTGGTGGGGCCTGCTTCTCCTGTGTGCAGTTTGAGTCTCTGCTTCGCATGACAGCCAGCTTTGATGAGCAAAGAAAAGTCAGTGAGTCATGTCTCAGTGAGGCCCTTGACCTTTCTGAGAACTAGGCAGCAGCAGGGGAAAGGCCTTTTCTTTGGAAGGATACTAGTTCAGGAAGCCAAATGGCACATACAGTTTAAATTTTGACCCTTGCCTTGTGCCTGCAACTTCAGTTTTGATCTCAGTGTTAATTTGAGGCAGCCTGGAGCTGCTGCTGGAAAACAGGACCTAGAACTTAAATGGTCCCAAGTGAATCTTCTTGCAGGACTCATAACTCTTCCATTACTCTGGAGCAGTGTGGAAGGAAGAGTGATACTACAAAAACTGTAAATGGCAAAACATATCTAGGAAGAAAGTTTTACAGGGAAGAATCCAGTAAAGGAGGTTTACATGTCATTGGCCGGGTGTTTGTTGAAGAGCACAGACAGCACTGTCAATGGTAGAAGGATTTTTTTTAAATAGATCTAACCTCCCTAGCTCTAAGTTTTATCCTGGAGGAAGGGTATTATAAATCTTCTCTAGTCATCTGCTGTTTGTGTCATGAAACTGTGCAGCGAACTGCCCCGCCGGTTGCAGGGGTTCTCCGAGAGTCATGCTTGGCCAGGGTCTCATGGAGTCCCCACATAAAGACAGCACATGAACCTCTTACAGCTCACTGGAGAGAGTTTTTATTTCAGAATGGTTTTTACCCACTCCTTGATTGCCCAAGGAACGTGTGTCCCATCCTCAGGGAATCTACTCATCAGCGGTCAGGCTGCACTTGTTAATGAGTGACCCTCAATTTAGAGCTGCATTTGCTAGGAAAGCAATCACACACATGTAGTCTGCAGGAGATACACAACTTTTCCCACCGATCTCTTTTTGCAAAGAAAATCAAACCAAGCCATAACCGAGATAACCTTTATAAATACCAAGAGAAAGCCTTGATGTCACAGCTGATTGATTTCTTCTTTCTTTCTCCCCCCCCCCCCATGGTTCATTTTTGGTCGAAGGAAGTCTTTATCACTCTGCTTTGGAAGCAAATTATTATCAGCAAATTACTATAATCAGAACTTGCATGTTTTATGATTTAAAGTGCAGTACTTGAGTGGTTCAGGTCAGGACCAGATTAATGAACCCTGGAAATACTCAGTCTCCCTAAAAGACTCGAAGGAATCCACTCATGTGAACTAGGCTGTTAATGACCCTTACACTAAGGACAATCTGTTTCCTTCTGCAATTCCTTGACTACTTAGGTAGTTTATTTCTCCCCCTGTTCTATTTGGATATAATAAAAGAAACTCCCTGCTTCCATACTTAGTGTAAGAGTACTGTTCATCTGCCAGTGACCTAGGAAAAAAGTTCTTTCTTTTTCCTATTTCTTTTAATAAAATGTGCAGAGTCAAAGCAAGTGAAAGTATCAATACTTACCATCAATATTCACTAATTAATGCGTTACAATAGTTTCATTATCACCTACTTATTATCCATCGACTCCCTAATTTGGGCTCATTTCAAAGATGATGACAATCATCACACTTTACCTCGTAGACCTCAGCATACAGATCATTCATGAATCTTCCTAGTAACTCCATGAAGAATTGAGGTAACTCAAATGAAGTGAAAAGAGACAGCTAAGCTTTATTCTGGTGGAGTTAAGGTGATACTGAGTTGGAAATTTTGCTTCTTCCCATTGAAGAAGTGTTTTGTTTTTATTTCTCTTCCTTTATTTTTTTCCCCTTTTACTTCCCTGGAATGGTTCTTAGTCCCCTCCTTGAAGAAGACCGGCATCCATTCATTCCCCAGTTTGAGATGACAGGCCACTCAGATGGTGAGGGATGATGATGGACACTGAGTCTTGGGGCTGAGGATGGCTGGGCTGGAGCCAGCATAGGTCACTGCTGAGCTCTCTCACCTTGTGCCTGCTTGGATCAAGGCTACATTTGCTAGTGATTGACACTAGTTGTCTTCTTGCAGAATTGGCATTGTTTGTCAGCTTTTAGGATATGGTGTTCAGAACAGCAGCTCCTTCCTGGAGTGTAGATGCTTCTCCTCCATTGGAAAGCCTGTGTTGCTTTGGCTCTTGAGGGTGGGAGCCATGGTGTGTGTGTGTGTGTGTGTGTGTGTGTGTGTGTGTGTGTTGGGAATATTTGCTAGATTGGGTGGCATCTTTTGTTTGTGTTAAGTAGTTGTAGCTTCCTGTAGGGGGCAGTACAAGTAAAGGAAGGACTTGAAAGATTTGGTATTTTCTTCTTCCCTTTTAGTCCCTTATTATAACGGTTGATGGACTGCTTGAGTAGCATCTGTGGCTCAGTTCTCATTTCACTTGGTATTTTGCCTGGATTATGGAAAGACGATGACTCACAAGGCTCACGTGTGCCCAACCCTGAGGCTCAGATGGCCCTTTGTCAGAAAGGGGATGGGGAACCGGTTGGCTGTCCCCCGTTTCTGAGAGCTGTTCATGTCCCTGTGCTCTTGCAGAGGGATGTGGCGTCTTTAACCACAGGTCCTCCAGATATTTGACAATCAAAGCTGCGAGGTCGCACTGTCATTTGACCAGTGCTTTCCGCCTCGTTGATGTATCACAGTGATGTCTATGAAGATGCGAAACCTTCCTGCCTGGCTGGACGCTGGTGCCGCGTGTGTGTAATTCTAGCAACTCAGGAGATTGAAGTCTGAGGAGCACAGTTCGAAGCCAGCCTGGGCAGGAGAGTGTGGGAAGTGGAGCTGTGGCTCAAGTTGATAGAGCATTAACTTTGAGGAGAAGTCCTGGGCTTGCACTTAAGCACCCTAAAACCCCTAGAAAATCAGGCACCAAAAACAAAACAAGGCCAGAAACCGCCTTCCAACCTTATTAACAGTCTAGCTAAAGCCCCAGGGCAGCAGAGGCCTGGGTCCTAGCTCTGTGACAGGCACACAGGCTGAACACTCTCCTCAACCTCTCTGTTCTACTTGTGATCATCAGCCTTCTGTGCTGCCTGTCGGTAGGTGTGTAGGTTGCATAGGGAATTCTCTCAGAGGGCCTTGTGTCCCATTTCTCTATCGTACACCCCCTCCCAGAAACCCCACCCCACCACCACCCGCTCTGCTCTTGGATTTCCTGCCACAGCATCCCCTCGGTTCCCACGTGGGCCAGCGCAAAGAGTCCAGTGTGGATGGGTCACCTCCACGCCCAGCCCCTGCTCCCCACGCCACGGCCCGCAAACCGTGCACCACTTTGCGTTGATGTTCCTTTGCTTTACTCGCTGGGTTTTCGTCCCCTGCTAAAGCGTGGGGGTTTGTTCTTTATATTTTTGTGTGTGTGTGTGTGTGTGCAGTGTCTGCCCCAAGCAAGTCTCTTGGGAGGAGAAGGCGGCGACTGGCACGCAACAGGTTTACCATTGACTCAGATGCCGTGGCGGCCAGCAGCCCGGAGAAAGAGCCCCAGCAGCCGCCCGGGCCAGGGGACACAGACCGCTGGGTGGAGGAGCAGTTCGATCTTGCTCAGTACGAGGACCAGGATGGCATCAAGGAGACAGACATCCTCAGTGACGACGACGAGTTCTGCGAGTCGGTGAAGGACGCCTCGGTGCACAGAGACCTCCATGAGCGGCTGCAGGCCGCCTCCATCAGCCAGCGGAGGGGCCTGGACAGCCACGCGTCACGCATGAGCCAGCTCAAGAAGCAGGCCGCCCTCTCGGGCGTCAACGGCGGCGTGGACAGCGCCAGTGAGGAAGTGATCTGGGTGAGACGTGAAGACTTCGCCCCTTCCAGGAAACTGAACACTGAGATCTGACTTCTGTCCCCTTCTGTGGAGAACGTGTGTGTGTGTGTGTGTGTGTGTGTGTAGATGCTGCCACCCTGCCCTGCCCTCCTGCCTGTCTACCCGTGCCAGCCTCCCCCTGCCCCCCAGAACGTCCCCGGGGTGTTCTGCACACACCAGTGTGGCAGCTGACGCGGGTCTGAAGCCATGTAGCCACCTGCCCTTGACATTCTTCACAACGGACATCAGAGAGGATCGCCCCGAACCCCAGATCAGCTCGAGTCCTTCCACTAAGGTCTTGTGGTTATTCTCAGTCAGGGCCTGAGGAATTTGGAAAAACAAGACAAACTTGTTACCACTGAAAGCAAACCGGCTCCCTGCAGCAGCTGAACTCATTTAAAGGTTAGCGTGTGCACACACATGTACACACATTCGCACACAGAACACACAGCTATCTGGAGCCCATCTTCCAGCTGAACTGAAACATCTGTACAGCTTTCCGTGTTCAGGCCCTGTTTCTTCTTCAGTGTTGAGACTATCTGTGTCTTTTTAAGAATGTGTGAGGAAAAGGGTGGTTGTTTACGTGTCGATGAGCCTTTCTTTTTCATTTTTTGTTCTTTTTAAATATTTTTCTTCTGTGTTGGTCCGTGGCTGTTCTTAATGCTATGTCATTGTTTGGAAGTTCTAGTTTTGCATAGAATTATAAAGATGCCAAACTCTTAGAGAAGAGGTCCAGATTTATCATTTGAAAGAGAGAACACAAACAAACACTATTTTTTGTATTTTACCTGAGATGCAGGGACTCAGATAGGTGAGAATTTTACAGTGTTAGGTTACAGAGAGTGAGACATTGTGACTTTATATTTATATGAAAAGCCAACAAGGAGCTCATGTTAAGAATAAGCTTTTTTTTTTCCCCCCAAGAAGCAGATTTTGGGGGGGTAAACGCTTGAATCTGTATTTGAGATGGGAGTTTGGTTGGAGGGGGAACACGTGACAGGGAATGGGCGGAGCCTGTGTATCTGTCCCCATGGCAGAGGACAGAAGCCTCCTTCTCATGGGGTTGCCATGGTGACCATTGGTTTTTCCACCAGAATCACATCTTCATCCATAGATCCCCCTCCCCACACCCTTGGCAGTCCATAACCAAACCTCTGACCCAAACAACCTCTTCAAAAAACATCTCTTGTGTTCAATACTTTCTTCTTGCCAATGAAACAGGGTAATAAACATGTCAATTCCTAGTGTCTGAAATAGATATCCAAATGGAGGAAGAACAACTACAATAAGAAAAACAAATTATAGCACTTTTATTTTTTCTTTAAACAAAAAGGTTGAGTTTAAATTGAGTTTAAACTCTTCTTAACAGACAGAAGAACACTTTTTCTTTTTTTGGGGGGGGGGATATCTATTTGGTGTTTGACACATCAGTAGGTACTTTAAAAACCTGAATTTTATAGTAGCTTAGGAATTATATTTTATAAGAATCAGTTATGACTTTATATTTCCAGACAATAGAGAAGTTCAGAACATCTCGCTCTTGGGCCTCGGCTTGCTTTCCCTCGCTCTCCTTGACCTCCCCTCCCTTTTCAGATTTCCAGGGCTTTGAGCTTGATCTTTTGAAAGTTTTATTCTATTAAATTTTTGCTATATCTTCTGGTTTTCTTACAAAAAAAAAAGAACAAACAAAAAAGCTTTAGAATGATTTCTATACCCTTTGTATCACCGCATTGTTCCCTTTCCTCTGGAGTTCGGTGGTGTCTGGATGGGCCACGGAGCGCGGTGGGCGTGGGTGGCTTCCTGCACGGAGCGCGGTGGGCGTGGGTGGCTTCCTGCACGGGCCCACGGAGACACTGCGGAGCCTGGTGCTTGGAGGGAGCCATTGTCTCTTGTACATAAGGTCATGACGTGTCTATGTCAAAAGTTCTTATATATTTCTTTTATAAGCTGAAAGAAGGTCTATTTTTATGTTTTTAGGTCTATGAATGGAACGTTGTAAATGCCCGTCAAACAATAAAAATATTGAAAAAAAATACCCGGATGATCCCATGTCTCTTTGGAGTTTGAATTGTGGGAAGGGAGAAAATAACTGGAAATGTGTGGTTTTTGTTTGTTTGCTAGAAAGGCAGAATGACCCTCACTCAGCTCAGACATACTTCAGATGTGCTCTTGTTGGAGAAACCATAGTCTGACGGCCCCATTAGTATTGGATTTGGAACACATATTTTACTTAGTTTTATTTGCGCTGGTATTGGGATTTGAACTCAAAGCCTTGATCCCTTGTTTGGCTTTTTGCAGTCCAAGGCCAGTACTCTTCATACCCATTTTGTTTTCTTCTGGTTACCACAGGTAAGAGTCACACAGACTTTTCTGCCTGGGCTGACCTCAAACTTCAATCCTCAGTCTCTTGAATAGGATTACAGATGTGAGCTACCAGCACCTAATTTTTTTTTTGGGGGGGGGGGAGGGGGTCTGGTCATGAGGCCTGAACTCTGGGCCTGAGCGCTGTCCCTCAGCTCTTCAGCTCAAAGCTAGCGCTCTACCACTTGAGCCACAGCGCCACTTCTGGCTTATTTCTTTTTGCTTATGTGGTGCTGAGGAATTGAACCCAGGGCCTCAGGCATGCAAGGCAAGCGCTCTACCACTGAGCCACCTTCCCAGCCCTGAGTTATTTATATTGTTGGTTGTGGGGCTTGAACTCAGGACCTGAGTGCTGTCTCTGAGCTTTGCTTTGCTCAAAGCTAGCCCTCAACCACTTTCAGCCACAGCTCCACTTCCAGCATTTGGGTGGTTAATTGGAGAAAAGAGTCTCAGGGATTTTCTTGCCCAGTCCCCAGGCCTCAGCCTCCTGAGTAGCTGGGATTACGGGCGCTACCTGACTTATTTTTACGTAGAGTGTTCAAGTGCACGGCGTCCTGTAGGAAATGGTGGAAGCCATCTTAACATGCCCCCAGTGAAGTCACCCCAGCGGTTTGCTCACGGTGTGAGACGCAGCTGTTTGGACTGCATCTTAGTAGCCAAGTCTGGCTGTAAAGAAGAAATGAGTGCTCAAAGTCAAGTATGGTGGGCACACAATACCTTTGCCCCCTCAACTAAATTTCTTAGAGTCCTGCCTGTCCCCCCCAAAAAGGCTGTCACCTCTCCCTCCTGGGTGTCAGGGTTTGGGGTGGGGGACTGGGTTCCCCCTCCTCTGTAGTGGTTATTCTAGTGATGAGCAACGTAACAGTCCACTCTGGAGATGGACACGGAGTTTGCTGTTGCTGTGTACAGCAGCACGACCCACCTCCTTCCTGTGGGATGGAGTCTTGCAGATTTTTCTGCTCAGGCTAGTCAGTCCCCTTGATCTCAGCCTCCCACATAGCTCAGCATGAGGAGCTTGTGCCCGCCCAGCCCTCTCTGGGTTGGTCAGGAAGAGGTCTCACGAACTTCTCTTAAGCCAGGCTGCTCAGGAACTGTGATCCTCCCATTTCTCAGCCTGCCAGGCTCACCAGGATTTCAGATGCTGAATAATGAATGTTCTTTCCTAAAACGTCATCAGCCTGGGGATGTGCTGAGGGACACTCTCCCTTCCTCCCCACTCCCCTCCGTCTCCCGCTTGGTAAACAAAAGGGACTTCGCACACATCCTACCTCAGACTTGGAAAGAACCTCTTCTCAGCACGTAGACACAGAAATGGCGGATTGAGAAAATAAACTTTGACACTGGCCAAGGAGCTTATCCTCTTTTAAGGTGGGTGATTGCTAACCCTAACCAAATTGGTCTGTGATGCAGCAGTTCAGGAGATGGTTTAGTCTGTTTGCTGTTACTATAATAAAATACCAGAGACAGGGTAATTTACAAACAGTAGAAGTGTCCTGAGGTCATGGGTTTGGGAAGCCCAAGAGCACAGTGCCATTAATATGGGAATTCGGGGGTCGAGTTGCCAACACATGGTCTTTTTGGGAGGCTTCATTCAAATCATAGCAGAGAATAGGTCTGATGTTTGACATTATAATGGAGTGGCAGGTGCCAACACTTCCACAGTGAACTGCCATTCCTTATGCACAGTCTCCAGGCAAGGTTTCCCTGTGATCTCACAAATGAAAAATGGAGAGACAATTGTCACTGAAAAGAGCAATGTGATGTGGCTGGAGGAAAAAAAGTCCCACCATTTCACGAGATTATTTCAGTGAAATTTTACTTTTATAGCTTAGCTTCTATGTTTCTGTACCAATTAATTATGTATCAATTATAGTAATAATCCAGGATTATTGATTTTTTTTTTGGTGATTGTGCTAGGGATCAGAGCCGGGCCTTGCGCATGCTAGGTAAGTGCTCTGCCACTGAGCTGTGTGTACAGCACTTGTTATTGTTCAACACTTGGAGCTTTATGGTCATGGGAGACAACAAAACCTTCAATGTGTAAATTTGTGTATGTATAAGCAAAGCAGAGGGGTGAACGGAGCTCCAAAATGAGTTTAGAGCCGGAGGGAAAGATTTAAGATTATGTTGGTCCATGTTAAGTGACATAATAGTTATATTTTAAAATGTTGATTTTAAGAAGGCAAGAAGAAAAGGAAGAAAGGCAGGAGGGAGGGGTGCTGTGGCTCAGGCTTGTGATCCTAACTACTCTGGGTATGACATCTGAGGATCACTCTCACTCAAACATGGCATAAAAAAGCTTGGACTTAAACCAGTTCTTTAAAATCTTCCTGATGAAAAAACTTCCATGTGAGGGAAAAACTTATAGTCGGTATGTATGTAAATCTGTCTTGTTAGCTTAGTTCAATAAAAGGCCCCAGGCCGAGAACCCAAGATGTGTAAACGGATTTTATTTCTTCTGTTTTAGGAAGGAGATCAATGTTGGCAAGAGGCAGGGGCCACACAATTCAACATGAACTTTTGCTGGGGAGAGAGGTCCCTAAGTAGACTGTCACTTCTTGAGTAGTTTCACTTGAAGTATTCTTTTTTTTTTTGTTTTGCCATTTTTGCAAATCACTCTTTTATACTCTATATACTCTCTTATACATTTTTGTACATATATGTAACATACACTATTATACATTTTTGTTAATATGCAGAGTACATAACTGATTTGTATAAATCAGTAAGTTAGAATGGAGAGACCCACACTTTGTTGAGACATTGCCTGCGTTCTTTCCCCCATAACCACTGCTAACGCTGCGAGCATTGTTTTCTCCTCTCCACTTTTTGTTTTCTTCTAAACAGGTACCAGGGCTTGAACTCAGGACCTTTGGCCTGCTCCCTTTCCTTGCTCATGGCTGGTGCTCTATGACTTGAGCTGCACCTACAGTCCAGCTTTTTGCTGGCTGTTTGGAGATGGAGTCTCTAGGCCTTTTCTGCCTGGGCTGGCTTCGAGTTGAGCTCCTTCAGGTCTCAGCCTCCTGAGGATTGTAAGTTGAGCCACTGGCAGCAGCTTCCTCTGTTTCCATGTGCATATCTGCGTATGCAGACGCAGCGCTGCGTAGCTGTGCATCACCCTGAGGCTGGTCTCCGTGTGTGCGTGGACCCCAGTGATTCACCTGCTCCTGCGTGCTTGGTATTTAGGAGGACTATCTGCGAGTGAAGGACACGTGATGGCACTCAAGTATTTGCTGCAAAAAAAAAAAAATGAGTTTAGCAGCTTGGCTCTCTGGGACGTGGACTGTCGGCCCTCTAGCTTCTGCAGAGAAGACGCGGTGGCTGAGGATGATCGGGTCCCTCTGGGACAGGCGATCCCGTGTCCCGTGGGAGGGATGGGAGTGAAATCCCACGCGTTCGAGGTGAGTCAGGAAGGCGCAGAAGCGATCACAAGTGTGCTGCCAATGGCAGCTTTTCTGTGGGGTGACAACGGCCCGGTGGCCACAGGGGGGAGTGCCGGGATGGGCCGCCCTGAGACCCAGAGGCCAGGGGTCAGGACGCGCCTGGTCCCCCACCGTGCAGCTCAGCTCGCATTGTGCTTGGGAAGGTGCCGAGCCCGGCCGGACCGTCCCTGCCCGGTGACTGAGCACGCACTCCCTTTTGGGAAATGTCACCAGGCTCTGGCTCATTCTGGGTTTCATGGGTTTGTCCTGGGAGGGAGCATCGCGGCCAGTGTGGCGGGGCTTGCGCGGAAAGCCTGCTCTTCCACCCCAGTGGAGCGGGCACCGCGTGCGCGCGCCACCG